CACATCGGGGCCTGGGGGGCGATAATGTAATAATATTAATAATGATAATAATAATAGTAATAAAGAACCATAAAGAAATACAAAAATGAAAAAAAATCAAGAGTGAGAAACAATGTGCCTGTATGTATGTTGTGTTGTCAATAGTGAGAGAAACACTTGAGACCCTGCAATTGTGTGTAAATGAGGCAGAAAGTCAGATCAGCAACCTGGGACTTGGTCACGATTTTTTTGATGACATATGTTCTCTGACTTTTCCATTTTTTTATTCACGGTTTCATATTTATTTACTAAAGTGGTTAATGTTTTAAAGCAAATTCTATTGAAATATGAATGGCAAATGAACAAAAATGAATAGAGGGACTTAAATGAGGTAGGTTAGGGAAAGGTACTTTGAAAATGTATGTTTTTTTTCTATAGACTTTATGTACTATTAACCGACTTATTGGATTATCCGTCGGCCCCTTCCCCCCATATGTGGTCGGTTAATTGAGATTTCACTGTATATATATATATATATATATATATATATATATATATATATATATATATATATATATATATATATATATATATATATATGTATATATATATATGTATATGTATATATATATATATATATATATATATATATATATATATATATATATATATATATATATATATATATATATATATATATATATATATATATATATATATATATATATACACTTTTTTTTTTTTTTTAAAGAACCACACAGGGAATTTGGGAATTTATTTTTGGGGGCTCCAGCAGCAAAGGGGTTAACGAGAAACGTTTATGACAACTACAATACAATACAGTACTGTAACACTTCTGGGTGAAGTTTAAATAAAAAATAAGCCTGTACAACTTCAGTACATTAAAGAAGAGTAAGAATAAAGAAAGAACTAGGATAAGAATAAATATAAAAATTAAACTGTACAGTACAGTTCTATCAAAAGACAGTATTACACATAAATGAGATGAATGTGTCTTGGAGGGAGGAGGAAACCAGTGTGTCTGCAGACTTGCCTTTGCCAAGTCCAACTGGAGATTGGACACAATTGGCCTTTGCCTTCCCAATTTCAGTACTGTACATAATTTCCTTATAATTTATTATTCTTTACTAAAAATTCAATAAAATGATCTACAGACATTATATACATTGAATTATCACAGAGAATTAAGATAAACTACAGGAAAGTGTCATTATTCACTCACAAGTGACACAAGTCTAAATATAACAACCTGGGTTGGCTGCACAGGTATAAGTGAAGTGAGAGGTACTGTACTGGTTACTCCCACAGGTGATCCAATGGTCAACCCCCCACCCATGACAAATCATCTGCACCACCTACCACCTGAACCACCCATCATTTGCACCATCAGTCATCAGCACCACCGAACATTTGCACTATCAACTACCAACACCACTAATACTCTCCTGTACTACCTCCTGTATCAGACCACCTCTACACACCTCATCTAATGTCTTAAGTGTCCAACCCAAAGGCAACATTACCTGACTGTATGTCCCCTCACACCTCTTCACCCTACTGCCACGAAGTACAATTGGGGAAAACTATTCTGCCCCACATTGCTGTGACCAATGGAGACATCTGGGAACTCTCTCATAGTAATACACAGAGCATGAAGCAAACCTTTATGAATGAACCAGCTCTAAACCATTTGAGCAACTGTTTTCATCCAAACACTGCCCTCACTATGATTCAAAGCTGGTTCATTCATAAAGGTTTGCTTTATGCTGTTTACTTCTGCGAGAGAACTGCTGGTTGTCTCCATTGGCCACAACAATGTGAGGCATAATATTTTTTTTTCTCAACCGTTTTCTTCAAAATAATCTGGTCTCATCCACATTAAACACCTGCTGGGGAAGGTAACCTCCCTCAATGTTGATGTTCGTACCTCTGAGAGTTTGTAAGTCGAATGTTCTTAAGTAGAGGAGCACCTGTACATTCCTTCACCAATCAGCAACAAGAGTGCCTCCCAACCCAATCATCTTAACACATTTCTTAATCAATTACTCGGGCTTCAACTGGCCATGGACCCACTACTGGTTTGAATTGACAAAAATTCATAATCCACTCCCCTATTTTACAGGGGTTTGCCATATAACCCTTTCTAATATGTAGGAATATTGTCAATACCTTGTGTGATCTGTTGTGTGTGAAATATTTCAAGGCAAATTTCTGCAAGGAACAGGAATTGCAATTCTGTATGTATTTGCCAGTACCCATCAAAAGGTGACCTGTGGTGAAATGGATGGCATGCCCACCCTGCAAGAGAGTGGTCCTGGGTTTGATCCCAGGGCAGGCTGAAACTAGGGGTAAGTTACTTTTCATCATTTGCCTCTGTCTATCCAGTAGTAATTGGAAATCTGGACAGTAATAAATTTATGGACTGTTTTGGGATAGTAGTTAGTCAGTACAGTTGGCGAGTGGTTTGGTCTGCTTGGATTATTCCTTGACACTGGGTCTTACAAAGCATTTACCCAGGGAGCAGTTGTTCTGTTGGTAACAGCTTCTACACATTAAACAATTTCATGATAAGCAAGAGGTCACACAGAAATAAATCCTGTGTCAACCTAACTGTAAACAACTTAAAACATATCTAAATACTGTATATTCTTAATTCTTATACCAAGAGAATTCCATAAAAGTGTACATCAACTACGATAAAATAACGTAACATCATGGCTGAAAAAGAATAATAACAATAAAAGTTATTTTTATTAAATATAAATAAGAGGTAAGGTTGCTCATCTTTTAAAACCTACAACAGGCAAACACACATTTATGCAGATTCCTCTAAATTGCCAACTCTTTTTCACACACACACACACACATGTACACACACTTCTTTCTTTGTGTATGCATTCATACTCCCATAAATAATCATAACTAAGAAAACAAGACACTGAAAATAGAACTTTCTCCAATTACCAACAAAAGCTTTACTGTAACTCCAAAGCAACAAGGAGTTGCAAAATGTATAACAAGCCAGAGTAAGACCCTGCCATATTATACCAAGGTGATTAAACAGTTATAAACTACATTTAAAAACATCTAAGCTTATTTCTCATTGTTGCTGAACCACTTCAGTTCCCATCTTAGGGTTTGGTTATCTTATGAGAAATTATTAATATTTTTGTTAATGAATTGTTTCTCATTCTTCCCATTTTCTTGAAGTCTACATCCATTACAAAAATAAATATCCTACTATGTACAACAAGACCCACTTATACACAGCATGTAACAGTGTCAGTTACACAACTCCTTTGAACAGTGTCAATGATAGTAATATAAACTAGATTGCATTATTTTTAAGGAATGAGTGGTCTGTTCACTGTGACTAGCCAGCAGGAGCTGGAAATTATTTGTAGACATTAAAGACATATTGAATTTATCAAATGGACATTATGTAATTGAGACATCCTGCTCTCACACTGTGAGACGGACAACAAACACCACTCAATTTATAATGTTACCATTAGTTGGCAATGTGATTTGTTGACAAGCCTCTTACCTTTTGGATCACTAAAGAATCATCTGAACAACTATTGGGTCATTTGGGTCACTACAGGATATTCTGAATACCCTAGAAAAATTTAAACCACTATGGTATAGGGCCATTTAAATCACTAAAGGATCATCTGGGCCTCATTGGGGTCACTTGGATCACTTACTCGACAATAGGTTCACTTGTATCAATACATGCTCATTTGGATTACTGTAGGATCAAATGAATCACTAAAGTGTCACATGGATGAACACTGGTTCCTTTGGATCACTGAATCCTCTGGATTATCAAGGGATCACTATAGAACATTTTAATCATTCTAGGGTCATGTAGATTGCTGTAAGGACATTCTGATTATTGCAGAGTAATTTGGATAACTACAGAATCATTTAGATTATTACAAGATCATATTAGCCAATGGATGGTTTTCTGGATCACAATAAGGTCACTTCAATTGCTATTGGTTCATTCTGATCATTGAAGGATCTGTTTCATCACTATGGGTCATCTGGATCACAACATATTTGTCTGAAACACTACTGGAACAGTAGAAAAATTTGGATTGTGATAAAAATCATTTGAAACACCTGATGTGCCGGGAGGGTTGGTATGCATATTCCACTATCCCCCGTCCGTGGTGTCATATTGTTTCGCACATAATCTGTGAGGTACTTTTTTTTACTGTGTGTACAGTAGTTAAAACAACTATCTGTGCAGATGGGGGTCGATATGCTTCAAAATTTTAAGTGTGACTAGTGACAGCTCTCATACACCAAAATTCATCGTCCATGGTCTCATATTGTTTCCCACAAAGTATGCACAGATAGTTGTTTTAGCTACTGTACATGGCAAATTAGTTGTTATCATATTTTGCTAATATGCATCTCATTTTGTATATGAATTTGACCTTTAGCAAATGTCACCCCAAAATGCAATCAAGTTTTAAATTGGTACAGCATCAGTGCATCTACAAATCAAATTCAGTTTGGATGTACAGGTAATCATTACTCGGTAGTTGTTAATATATTTTGCTGACAATTCTCCCACCATATGTAATGAGACCCAAACCCAGTACGACCTTCAAAATGATGTCAAGGTCACCAGATATTCCTGCTGCCAAATATGTGATGGTAGATGGGCAGACAACAACAAGAAAGTGTTTCCCCTCAAGAGAGAAGACACGATGACAAAGATTATAAATGACCGTAACGATAATACAATAATAATGATAATCATAATAATATAAAAATACTGTATATCAAATTACAACTACAGTAACAGCATAATGAGAAAAATAACACAAACTTAATGTTTTAATGATAAAAATTCTGATAATATAAAAACTAAACATCATCATTTGTCAATGACTCAATTTGATAAAAGAGAGAGAAATAATTATCATTTCACATATACAACTAAGGTTAATACATCACAACAACAAGGGTGGCACATCACTCACAGTTTGGGCGTGGGAGTGGTGTCCACCGGCCGAGGAGCAGACGGACGCGGGGGTGAACTGCTTGAAGTTGACGACAATTTCATCGTGATTCGTGGCACATTGGCACCATCATCCTTCTCCTTCTTTACCTTCTTCTCTTTCTTCTCCAGCTTTGTCTTCTCCTTCTCCTTCTTTTTATCTGATTTGTCTTTTTCCTTTTCCTTGTCTTTTTTATCTTTCTTTTTCTTAATTTTATCTTTTTCTTTTTCCTTTTCCTTCTTTTCTTTTTTATGCTCTTTTTTCTGGAAATAGAGGTAAATATGGAAACATGACATAGGATTGTAGTCTTCAAACCAACGTTACTGTACCTGCTTAATGAAAGACAGAAAGTATTTTAAATAAACCCCATACTGCTGCATGTTATTCTGGATTCTGGGTTGCATACCACAGCTTCAGGATAAACCCACAAATTAGATGGCATTAACTACAGTAGTAGGTTTATCTTAACACTGCATGGGAAACTAACACACAGTTCATATTTACTACCATAACCCCTGAATCAAAGGGCTTGCTTGTCTAAGGATTTTAAATTCCCTGGACTTGCCTCTCAAATCATCTCCTAGCTGAGAGTCTGTAAGTGTAAGGCTTTACTAAACTTAAATTTTAAAAACACAATGTCGTACAATGTTAAGAGTGGCCAGCCATTTACATAGTTTGTACTCATTTGATACCAAATTTGACAGAATACTCCTGGATATTAATGATTTTACACAACTTAACATTATTTTGCACAGTGTAAGGGCAGAGAAAGACAGGAGAACAACACGCTAAATCTCTTGCAAGAGAACACTACTGTGGGAAAAGCTAAAGTTAAATATACCTGTGAAGATAATACAGTAATTGGTTAGAAGATGCTTATGTCATATTTGTGTTCCAAGAATCTTAATATATTAATAAAAGCATTAAAATGGGAAGATGTACTTCAAGTAACAGGAACTATACGTTGTAAGTGTAGTAATGATTGTGTTAGATATATACTAAATACCTGTAAATACAAAGAATATAATACTGTACTGCTTACCTTTTCTTTGTCAGTCTTATCCACCTTCTCTACTTTAATTCTCGGCATTGGTGGGGGAGAGTGATGAGCAGGTGTACGAGGCCGAGGAGGAGTTGCTGACATCTGATTTGGAGATGGTGACCGTAAAGGAGATGGATGACTGGTTACAGGCAAGGGGCTGGAGTCACGAGCATGTCTCGGAGTTAATGGCCGTTCAAGATTTTCAGGATCATCTAAAGGTGACAGATGGTCATCCTCCAGTGGACGCTTCGAGGGGGGTCTTGGTAGAAAAGTGTGAGGTGGTAAACGAAGGTCTGGTATGGGAGGATGGGGTAAACCTAGACGAGGTGGGGGCCCACTAAATGGAGGAATGAAGGGAAACCTTGAAAATGGAGGAATGAATCCTGGGGCAGTGGAAAATGGTGGAATGGAGAATGGAGCAGTGGAAGGTCCCCCCAGGTCCTCTGGGGGTAATCCAACTTCCGGAGTTTTGGGACGCTCTGGAGTTTCAAAGTCACAAGGTTCTCGATGACCTGGACTGAATCCACACTTGGGTGACTTGGAACGATCCTTTCTTGGTCGCTTTTCCTTTGTTTTTTCCTTCCCTTTGCGTTTTTCTGAAGGTTTACGGATGGGAATATATGGTATTTCTGGAGTTCTGGGAGTTGAGGGAGTACCAGGGGGAGACATGTCATCTTGGTATACAGAAAAGTCACCTGGTGATCTCACCATGTCATCCATAGAGGTATCAAACCTACGACTTGGATTCTCTATAACTGTCAATTCCTCTGGCAGACGACGCTGTCCTAATCTAGCAGGATTCTCGTCAATCATTAGATCAGGAGAGCTATCTCGGGACTGCTGGGCATCACGTTCCCCTGGACGATCCTGTTCTTTATTATCTTTAGTACCTTTGTTGATTCTCTTGAATATACTTAATTTTGACTTGCCTTCAGCTTTATCTTGTACTGATACCTCTTGTGTTTTGCTAGGAGCTGGTATAGAGGTCACAGTTACAGCCGATGATGATGCCAAAGCCATGATTAATGCTTGCTCACGTTCCTTCTCTTTCTTGTTTTCCTTTTCCTTTTTTATTTCTTTTTCTTTCTTACTCTCTTTCTCTTTCTTGCCATCTTTATCCTTTTTGTTTTCTTTGGTCTTCTTTGTTGGATCTTTTTCCTTTTTACTCTCTTTGGTTTTCTTCCCTGGTTCCTTCTCTTTCTTTACCTTCTTTGGCTCACCTTCCTTCCCTGGGTCTTTGGACTTAGGGGTGGAGGGTTTCTTAGTTTCTGACTTGGGTGTTTTAGGAGGTTTGGGGACTTTTATCTTGGGAGTTGAAGTCTTGGGATTTGGGTTTTTAGGAGTGGACACCTTAGGAGGAGTTGATTTGGGAGTTGATGCTTTAGATGTGGGAATCTTGGGAAAGGGAGGCTTGGGGTTGGGAGTCTTAGGCATAGAAACCTTGGGTGTAGGCATCTTCAGCTTAGGTGGGATAGGTGAAGCTCCAGGAGTATTGGCATTCCCTGTCTGAGAATGTAAAGGTGGTCTAGGCAGTGGCACCTTTGGGATCTTAAGACCTTTACTACCAGATTTGTCTTTGACCTTGACCTTGAGTGGCCGAGGAGGTTTGTTAGGCATTGATCGGCCAGATCCTCCTTGATTATTTTTTTGTCTGATCAATTTTTCGACCGTTAATTTCTTCTTGCCAGCTGCACCGGATGCTGAAGGAGATGAGCTGCGAGGAGTGGCCATTGGGATGTTGGGGCATCGTGCCTCGGGTAACTTTCCTTCCCGTGCAGAGGAGATGAAACCAGAGGTTGTCATCATCACACTTACAATCTCCCGCACTGGCTGGCCCTCATCATCAAGGGAGTACCTGAAGAAAAGTTAGTGTAAATTATGTTGATGGTAATTAATAATATAAAGTCCTTGAGAATCCAAAATGTAAGAAGAATGGAGTTTGAAATTCAGGAAAAATTTTAACAAATTGTAGTGCTTTCTTTAAACAACAATGTAAAAGCAATTATCATATTATTGTATGTCAAACAGCAAAAGATATGTTGTCAGTTATGAACAGAAAGTACTGTATGTCTTTATTTGGTCCTTTATAACACATTTCTCTACTACACTAACATGCATTGTGTCAGTATCCCTTTTAATCTGTTCACAAACAAAATAGAATTAGTCTATAAATATCAAAACCTCAACCCACCTTGACATTAAAAAGAAAACATGAATATTCAGAACATAGTGTAAACTAAGAATCACAGCTGCAAACATATTTATGATTAACTGCTATTGCTAAGGAACTGTTGTACCTAGTAATAATAAAAAGTACCATTAATAATAATACAGTAATAATTATAATACCACAGTAATAATAATAATAAAAAGATGGCAGTGTTGTATGGGGAGTTTCCTTACTTTGACTTCTTTGCTGGTGATGTGTCACTGTCAGAAGACCTTTTGACAGCTGGCTGAGGGGAAAGTGTAGGAGAGGAGCCCTCACCCATTGCTTCATCAAGAGTGGAATTCACCTTCACATCCAGCTCCTCCTCTGCACACACAGAAATAGCTGTATTATTATTTTCTGGTAGAGGGAAAGGAAAGGGAAGGATATGGCAGAGGAAGGTACTAGAAGACAGTTGTAGGGTATACTTATGGGTGTGTGATTTATATTTTTATACTGTATATATAAACATCTAAGTGACTAAGTGAAAAAAATTTTCTGGTGTCTAACAATATAACGCCCAGCATACTAAGTGACTTTGGTGATTAAAGAAGTTATACAGTACATTACAGTACAGAGTATTTTAGGTGTTCATTATATGTTTTGGTGGTGGAGTGGTGCTCCTCTCAGAAGTTTGAGGATCTGAGGGAACCAGGTGTGTGGTAGTACTGCCCAGTTCTTGCATATGTCACACTTCCTGGTATACTGTACTATATTAGTGACCCCGAGTTGAACAGGTCCCTTATGTGCTGTGATGTCTATCTCATTAGTTTCCAGCCAATTGTTAACTGTAACATATTGCTTACCTTTATTTAAGGGCTAGAGATACTTGAGAGAGAACAGAATAATCTTCAGATTATTTACCCATTCAGCACAGGGTAGGGTTTCCCTGACTTCCTAACCCCAAACCCTTCAGTGAGCATAAAGGGGACGGCACACTGTACACCTTCCTCCAAACACGGTCAGGCCACCAAAACAAAGAGATGTTTTGCATTACACTGGGATGTTTTGTTGGCGTGTCTGCCCAACACAACGAAAACAACAAAAAAGCGTGTAGACGAGGTTGAGGCCTTGAAGGACTGTGCTATAGTTCTTTAATTGCTGAAACAAGTGAGGCGTCTGCAGAAGCTAAAGAAAAGAAATTGGGTGTGTCGTGAAGTGTCTTTAAAAGAGGCGGCGGCTGGCTGGTCAAAGAAGGCGCTGAATAATGATTTAATAATACAATAAACGTTTTAAAGTGAAGAATAAATAGAAATACGTCACCGTTTATGTGTTATATTTTAAATTATTATTGTTTCATGATTAATTTCAATTTTTATTTGAAATTATATGAAGCTCATTTGTGCACTAATCAGGCCAACAAAGACCCCCGCCAAACCATTGTCCATTTCTCCTGCAGCTTGCTGGGCCGTCAGGCCAACGGCCAGCTAAACGGGCAATATGTGTGGAGGAAAGTGTCCAGTGTGCCGCCACCTTAAGTCATTCTAGACAGACTTTGGTTAAACAGTATATACGGTACGGTATAGTATACAGTACAGTACAGTATATACATTAAACTAAAGTGTCCCTCATCCATCCATCTCCTTCCTGTCCTCCCTCTCTTCATCTTACCGTCTAACTCTGAATTATACACAATTTTCATTTCCCATTCTTTCAATACAGTATGTTCATACCACCTTCTCAAGGGCAGATCTGGGGGGTCCGGACCCCCCTTTCATCAGAAAATTCCAATACTTTTTCTTTAATGCAGTATTGTACTTAGGCGTTTTTGCAAAGTAAAAAGTAATTACTATTGACCTCAGAATATATCCTAATATCAAGTGCACATGACTTCAAAATGGCCTCAAAATGCCCATGATATTGGTCAGATATAAAAAAAAAATTCTGGGAGGGGGGCTTACAGTGCCTCCCCAAAACCCCCCAGCTGGGTGGGTTCACTTTGCTCACCATGTTCCCTCACCCACAACTTCCCCCCCCCCCTTTTGAAAATCCTGGATCTATCCCTGCTTCTTACACTTCCAAATTTCCTTATTTCTGCGGTTCTTATTCATGCCTTCTATTCATCCCACATACTGCTATCATGCATATCATTTCTGTAAGTTCTCATCTACTTCTTGCTTATACTATACCAAACCTCTTAAAAAATGTGAATTGCTTTTTTAAAACATTTTAGAATGATCAATATTACAGTATTTACAGTAGTATATTATAAAGTAACATTTAATACTGTGAACCTTGTATAATATGTAAATGAATATTACTTACCCTCTTTCTCTGGATACATGGGTGGCAAGTGCTCGTGGATGTGAATTGGCCGTGATAAAATTTCCCTTGAACCAGGCTTGAGGAAATTGAGGTTGGATGTCCGTGGCACAGGGAGAGCTGACAGTAAATTGGGGAATGGCGGACAATCTACGTTGTTTATGTATTCTTCCAATTCAGACACAGATATACCCATGTCGAGGAATGCCAAACCAAGGTCGTCAAGATTGGGCTCTGTGCGACCAACTGCAAATTACATACAGTACATTACAATAATGTCCACAGTATTAATGCATTAAATAAAGCAGCTGAAAAATGAAGAAGCTTATTTCACCTGAAGAGTAACCACCTTAATGATAATGTTAACCTGGCCCTCCAATAGTAACATTAGGGTAGTTAATCTTTTGGGGAAATAAGCTGGGGTGTGTTGTAGGGTGACTATCTTCAAGGGAAATAAACTGGGTTGTCTAATACTAATGTTATCCTAGTATCAAGGAAAAAGCAATTCATATTTCAGTGTACGTAATTTGTGTCCTTGTTATTGTTCACGTCCCTCATATCTTTTAATATTAGGTGTTTCTATTATCCCTATTTAATATACTACACAAAATACATTTAACAAACAGGCCTTAAAATAGATTAGGAACTTTTAAAGAGTGATAACCAAGCCATTTTATTACTCTACAGTATTTAAAATATTACCATCACACATAAGACAACAGGAAATACAACCATATTCAATTGAACTTATATTTAATTTTTTTTATTAATTTACATATTTCTATCATGTGATTGGCAACTTGGCAAGCAGTACTTTATGGATGACAGGGCAGATTCTATTCCATATCTTTAACCTCCTGCTAATAGCCAAAAACATACAGTCCCTAACCTGATTCTACGACTGGATTTATATTCATTAAACTAAATTGAATCTTTATGTGAAAATTCTTAGGAATATATGTCATTATGGTAAAGAGTCAATCGTGTACATGGATGGAAACTACTAACTAATATAGAGGGAAATAGTGGGGTAAAAACTCACAAGAAAATAGTCAAATTTTAGTGCAGGTCATCCTTGTCTTTACAAAAAACCTAACCTAACCAACCTAACCTAATGTAACCTAGCTTGTCCTCACTAACTAAAATTACTACCAAATTTTAACTCATGAAATAACCTAAACTTTTTCAATATCGAAAGGAAGGTTAAGTTAGTTTTTAAGTCAAATGTTAAATGTCACTTGTAAATACCTCAGCAATGACCATAGAAATAAGGGTAGGAAAATTTTTTACATAGGATTGGTTTGCTTACTAACTACCCAGGTGGTATGGGGGTAATTGGGCAAAAGTTATTAATAAAAAAAAGAGTTACAATTTTGGCTAGGTTAGATTTGGTTAGGTTTAGGTTAGGTTAGGTTAGGTTAGGTTAGGTTAGGTTAGTTTGTATATCTAAATACAGGAATGACCGAAACTATAATTTTACCGGTTTAATTAGGTTAGTGTTAAGTGTGGTTGGGTTAGGCTTGATTAGGTTAGCTTTTGGTTGAGTTACTTCATCATGAGACAGCAGCAATGGGCACGAGACATACTACAGCTTTACATTAAGAGTATTATGAGTTAAACACTGCCCAAACTTACAATGTTCGGTGTAGCGGTGGGTGAGGCGACACACCTCTGTCATATACCGGTGCAGTAAGTCACACAATACGTCTAGCGGCGTAGAATAAATCCCATGAAAACCTATCGCCTGACATATCTGCCCGACTGATGTTTTGAGTATTTCATTTCTAAATTGACTCGCCATTTTTGGCCTTCTGGTGTATTGGCATCACTCGAATTGTACTAGTATCTCTTCGGCAGTAATACAGTAGGTTGTAGATGTCTTTCACTTCTGGGACGCCCCAGTGGCTTGACCATCTGCCATTTTGCATTGATCCTCACTGATGGTAAATAAACATCCCTTTACTATTTATCAAACTATGCGATTTAAATTTACCAACTAAACTAACTACTTATCAGGGAGTTATATTTGTAATTATCTATGTTATAAAAATATTTCTGGTAAAAATAAAACTATTTTCAAGAAGTTTGTAATGAAAATGTATGAATTTTATAATTTAAAGGAACAGTGAAAATCTGCTTAACATCCCAACTTGAAATTAACTTAATCCCTAACCTGGGAAAAACTAACTATTTCCATATATTATTTCATAAAATATAATTGTATTTTCCTTATTCATATTATGCAGTTCATTTTTATTTTAAATAATATTTATGACGATAGTCACACGATATTTTAGAGGAAATTATATTATGAGAACCAGATTTTTAATAAAAATATTAACTGAATTGAATGAGTCAGCTAAGGTTTTGCTTGAATTTCTCGGTTATATTTAAAATAAATAGTTATTAAAGCTCAATACTGCGTCTATCTTAAGGTCGGTGTTGTCTCAAGTTAGGAAGCGAAACTTGCCAATGAATTTGCTAGGAAATAGTCACGTGACCCTGCTTGTTGCCTGAGCATTTAGAATTAAGAAATAGTGGAAGAACTATATATAAATTTCCACTTTAAAGATTTATTGATACATTATTTTTATATTTCTACCTTAATATATTACTGAAATACCTAGGGTTAGAGAAATTGAACAAATACATTTATATTTCAATGAAGACGCTCGCAAATGTTTCTTTCCATTATTAGTTCTCGATGGGAGGGAGGTAGTGGAGGTGATCAGCCATCAATGGGTGCCCGACGTCGGCATCTAATGTACACGGGAGGCAAGGTGCTCTCTCCCGTCTTCTTCCCTAGAATTACGCTAACCTATATTTCCTATAGGGCTCTATTACGGCTCGTTGGGAAGGTTAGGGGCTTCTTTAGTCTGTCCCTTCACCAGAGCTTGTAAGAGCGAATGGGAGCGTAAGAAAAAGGGGTCGGAAATCTGTCGAGTTCCAGAAGGTAGCATCGAGGATGGCCAACCGTAGGAAGCAAAGCGACGGTGCTCGGTAGTTCAGCTTTCTTTCTTATTTTACGTGTGTTTGTCATCCTGGTTTTGAAAAATTTGGGTAAAAGTATTTTCGTTATATTATTTATTACTGGATCGATGTCATATATTTTAATCTGTTATGATAGATAAAGTAATTCTGAGGTAACTATTATGTAGACGTGGCACCATTGGAGGTCGCTGAGGTGCCAAGTGTGATGTTGTGGTTGTTACAGCGTTGCCGCCTCCTCCTCCTCCTCCTTCCCTCACCATCAACAACATCCTCCAGTTTTTCTTTATTAAATTACTTCAGATTAAAGACATCAATCATGAATTCATCGAACGAGTCATCATCAGTTGAGTGAGTGAAGCTTGGATAGTGTCTGGTGGATGAAAAAAATGGTGGCGTTCGATAGAATATTAAGGAAAAGAAAGTATAAAATTAGAAGTGTTTAATACGTAATTTCCACACGAGTTACTTGGGATTATTTTATATTTGATAATTAATTAAGTGTTTTATGACGAAAATATATTGTACCTGGTTCAGCATATACATACATGGTGGAAATGTTCAAATATTTGCACCCCAGATTATTTCACCTAAAGATTAACCACATTATTGCTAACTTAACCTCATCCCGCCTAGGGTGGTTAATGTTCAGGTGAAGTAAGCTGGGGTGGAGACACTTCAGGTGATCCGTTATATTAGTTTGAAGAAAAGTTGTTCATTGCCCTCCAGAATAGCTCCAATATATCTCAGGAATTATAATTTATGCATTTTATAATTTTCCTTGGTTTGTATACTTCCTGGAAAATTCAAATTGGGCAAATGAAACCAAACCAACCAAATTTGCTTAACATATTACAAAATTATTCAGAGTTTGTTATATTAGGTTTGTTTAATTTGTATGTTTAGGAATTGTCACATGTGAGCAATGTTACACTCCAAAATACAGGTCGCCCTCTTTTGCCAGAACCAGATTTGCATGTATCTGTACACTACCAATGTTCAGTTTCCTTTTTACCTCCAAATTTTCTGTTGTAGTTAGTGAATAAATATTAGTAAAGTAGTTTAATAGCAATACTTATAATGTCTTAGAGCAGAACTAAGTTAATATGACAGAGTTACAAGTAAAAAAAAACTCCAGTAAAAACTTAAAAGTGGGTTAGGTACAGTACTGTGTCCTTGTGTTACAGGATGTTGATGCTTCATCCAGAGCAAGTTACACCATGATAGATAAACCTGTTAAAGATTAAATCATACAGTTAAAGAATGCAGTATGGCTGGCACTGTATGTAGCCTTCTTTATTTTTCAATTTGTAAAGTTAGACACCCATTCACAGCTAGGTGAACTGGAAGTGCCCTGGGCACAAACCAGTGATCTTTTGGACAGGAAATGGGTGCCATACTCACTTGGTCACTGTTTCCCCCAATTTGTTTAATGGGGAACTAATAATTGGACATATTGAGAAATTAGTTTATGGTGTCCTTTTCCTTCCTGCAGCACCAGACTCCAGGATGATGTTTCTTGATGTGAAGATATCCTAAACAGGGAAGGTGGAGGAAACTCTTAACTTGAGTGAAAATGTGTACACTGAGGTGCAATTGCTCGACATCAGCTGCAAAATAATGTCACAATGGTTAAGCACTTTATTACAAGCACTTTAATATTTTTTATGATTTAGTCACTTACACTACGTATATTGTTGACTGAAGCCACACAGTCCATATACAGTATATGCTTCTATTGGCTTCCATGATTGATTACTTTGGTTAAATGCCTAACTTACCATCAAGCTGGCAAGTTTTATATATCAACATTGCCAAACACTGGCTGGTGGTACAGCATTATGCTTGCCTCCCACTGCTACATCCCAGTTTCAAACCCTGGGTTGGATGTGAGAAAGGGGTTCTCCTTGTTGACACTACTGAACATCACAGGTTTTTTTCTGTGCACTCTGGCTTCCTCCTGTACTGGACTACCACTGGGTCATGAAGGACAACTAATCAGGCAGAAGGGAGGGATTAAGCAAGCCACTTGGTTTTTTCCCCAGAAACACATCCTCCATTTATCACACACACTATGTTGATGGGAAAATCACTTTATGATACAAAGCTTTGCTTTACACACCAATTCCATAGAACACATCCCTTTCATGTAATGAGTACTATCTGTATATACAAATGAATCATAATAAGTGAAAATGGAAACACGATCACATACCACCTCACTGTGTGTGCATGTCACCCCTCTTTCCAAACAAAATATTTATGTGAAAATAATGCTTGTGATTATTGTGCTCTTTGCATGTGTAAATGTCAATATTAGTCAAACCAGTATTACAGTGCAGTATAAAGATAAAATGTTGTGCATGTGTAAGAAAACTATTCAGTCTGCCAGATATTGACATCAGTTCCTAGCACCCACAGCCATAGGACATTTAAAGTCAACCTACAGTGTATCAGTGCCACTAGGTAATTAGCTACAGTATATTTCTTCAGTGAAGGGGTGGAAATAAACATATCAATAAATGTTTCATAACAATATGAAGAGGACTAAAGTGACAAAGTTAAGCTGAACAATTAGTAGTAGACCACATTTCATACCTGGCCACTTATTCAAGGCATAAAAGTCTTGTTAGGTACATGTACTGTACTGTATGTTTAGGAAAACTACAGTAAATGGTCACCTAGGCTGCACAACTTTATTGAATTCTAATTTTTTATGGGATTTTCAATAAAAATGTTAATTTCATACATGTAATGCAGCTCCAAGGGATACAGCAAGGAAAATGAGTGAAAACTATTTTATGAAGCAGACTACAAATTGCAACCAAACCCGATCTAATCTAAAATATATATTTTTTAAAGTAGTGCACTGTACTGTGCTGTGCACTGTAGTATTGTAATTAGGTTTTGATGGTTTATATGGCTGGCTTCTTAAATGGTCTTCACACTGTTTTTTCTCCTCACTGGATACTGTATGTAGTTTATGCATTAATTTAGATACTATATTATACAGTATGAGCAAAGATCCCGATGAAAAATGTAAAGAAGTAAAATGTACTGTAGAGCTAAGCTAAACACTTTCCCAAACTGCTATGTAGATTTATGCTCTATGAATGCATATTTATATTTTGAATACAGTTATATAACTCTAGTAAAGCTCTTCTGTACCTTTGGCAATTCCATTACCTTACCAGCGCTCCTCTCCTTGGATTACTTTTTTATCCCCTTGCAATGAAGCTTGAAGGAATGTAGCATTTTGCCCTTTCACATGTACAGTATATAAAGTACCAGTATGTTATGTTTACTTTTTTGTATTTATTTAAACAATTGATAAATGATAACTGGTTTAAAGGTCAATTTTGGTAAAAACTAACCTATGCCAAAAATCTTCCCCAGGATTGTTGCAATAACTTATAATGCCTAGTTAAAGGCAATGGATTAATTTAAACTGTTTTATCATCTGCTTTTTTGTCTACTGCACTGTGTTATACCTGGCAAAGAAGAGACTATGGATATTAACAATTTTGTCCTAATAAGCTGCATTATGGTTAACATACTGTAGAACTTCATTTGATTAAAGACTTTTTGTGATATAATGGAGTAAAATCCTCAACTTACACACTTATGTACTGAGTTAACTTTATACTTCTTAACATGTTTCTGGGATGAAGCCTGTGTGTCTTAGCATGTAGTTTTCAGAAATTTTGTGGCATCAACTTTTTTTTCCATTTTTTGGGGGGGTGAATGAAACAAATCTGAGCTTATTCTCGCTGTTTTGAGGTTATGAATTTGGTCAGTGTGAAATAGTCATTGTTAATATCTTTCATATAGAGCTGAATCATGCTGATGATGCATTATTATTTATGACAGTTTTATTTATTTTTAATCTTTAGGAATCTTATTGCTAATTCATTGTATGTCTTCAATGAATGAGAAATTTATACTCTACAGTACAGTATATGAATTGAAGCAGCTATTGGAGATTTATTGATTGGTATTACTAATCAATTTTGTATGTGTTAGATACAGCGAAGTCTTGTCTAGTGTTTGTGGAAGGTGAGACACAGAGGGCAACAGTTGATAGGATCTAATTATTGGTGTATGGGATTGAACTGGGACATTTAAGGTACCCATTTATCATACATGTTAGGCCTGTACAGCACGGGCATTTACCATAGCCTGAATTCCTCGACACAGCTGCCATAGAGAGCGACACTTTTGTTATTATTTTACATACTTTAAAGTAAATAAACATCGAATGGGGTTAGGATTGTCACCTGTCTCTCCAGGTGGGTGTACATAAACTTTTTCTCATTCAGTGCACAATTCCAATGTTGATTAATTCTTGGCTTTAGAAAAATAGTCAGTGGTATTTAGAGAAGCTTTCAGTGTGGGGGAGTGTATCCTTGGAGGGATACAAAGAGGAGCCTTATTGTAGTGGGTGAGGGCAAGCTTCTCAGCTGACTGCCCAAGTATAATCTTTTCATATTGAAATGATTCCTTTGGTGGAATGATTAGTTTTTCATATAATGGCCATATATATATATATATATATATATATATATATATATATATATATATATATATATATATATATATATATATATATATTAAATCAGTCCATATAGCATGTGGACTTCCATATACAAACAATGCCTCATTATTATGTATACTGTGTATAAATATAACTAGGAAAACTCTTCTGTACCTTTGGCAATTCCATTCCATCTACTGTATAATGTTATGCTTTAAACTTCATTTGTAATAAGATGGTTTTATGCTTCTTAGAAATCAAGTTCTCATTTGCAAAACACATCTTTGAGAAGTCATTTTATTTCTATTCAGTAGTTCATCATAAGAAGCATTTGCAGGACCTTGAATGGGGGACAAATTTGGAAATGAGAAAATATAATTTGAACCTAAGAGGTTTCTTTCTTGCTTATCCATGATAATCAACATAATTCATTGTTATAGAATATATTGTTGAAGCTGACAAGGCTGGATAATATTAGTGAAAAATCTGATGAATCCTGAACATCAGCCCAGCATAATCCAAATCACCCTAATTGTGAGGGAAATTAATATTAAGAAAGCAGCAGAGTACATGAATTATATGAGAGCATAGTGTCAGGGGGATTATGTGGATGTTATGTTGCAACAATAAGGGTGAATAGATGATGGCAGATAAGGAGTTTGTGTTTGCTCTTGGTTCCAGCCTGTTCTTTTTAAGGGGTTACTGTTTACTTTACAATGTATTACTCTTTTATGTTACCATATTTGGAATGTAAAATCCCTGTAAGGATGGGTAGGGGGACATTTGGCATCAGTCTACCGTGAGTTAGGTCACTGGAATGTGAGCAGTGGGGCACATAAGTGTGTCCCTTTTCTCTTTAAATCTGAACTGCTGCCCAACACCCAGCAGTCTCTTGGGGAGAGACTCCAAGGAGGTTCTGTTGCCATGTAGGCATCTCAGGGTTATCTTGGGTTTCTGTTATCTCACTGTAAAGTACTGTACGTACCTGAATAACAAGTGCTTGGATTGGTTCAGTTGCACTTTGTGTTGCATATTTATGACTCTTTCTGGCATTTACATCTGTCATATTACTTATCTTGAGATACTGTATTTATATTTGTGACATTGCATTATGTTATGGAGCTTTTTTTAGAGGTTGTCATGTGACAGACTGATCGACTTTTCTTTGGTGTTTTAGAAACAGATCTGGTACTGGCAGGGTGTTTTTGGCTCTTAAAAACTTTATTTATATTTCTGGAGATATCGGTAATATTCACCTGATTGGCCTGTAAAGTGACACTGGGAATGAGTCAGTTGATCTTCGATCTGAGAAGACCAGCATTTCAGGTCCTCTGTTCTCTTGGGAATGTTTCATTAGCAGTGCGAGAGGGTTATGGGCAGTGTTGCTAAGGATCAACTTCAGGTGGTTGTGTTTCCTGTGCCTCTAAAGCTTATGTCTTTTCTCTATTTTTTTTTTTTACTGTTCTGTGTTTTTTGGTGGATCGTGCATTTTTTGCCTCTTGCCTCGAGTGTTGCTGGTTAATGTGTTGAGCTCTTTAATTTAACCAACTGTTGAAGGGTGAAGAATCAGGCCAGTGGGACCCACTTTCAATTCTGGTGATCGGATATGTAGCACCCATTTGCTTTTGTTGCTTTGACTCCTTTATTGTACTTAGTTATTGATTGGGCTGTACTGATGCTTCTGGGCATGGATGAGGTCCATCCCTTAAATACTGTACCAACAAAAAAAGGGATTTAAAGAGCAACCCTACATATTTATTTACTCATAGGCTTGTCTGGACTGACACCTTTGGGGAATACAAGAGGTCCCCGGGTTCCGAACGTCCGACTTATGAACATCCGCCGATACGAACGAGGTTAAACTTTAAATTTACAGTATTTTATTTACTTGATGACTTAATCTTTACTTTCATATACTCTATTTTGTCATTCTATTTCTCCTTTTCTCTTAGATTAAGTGATTTTAGATGTATATAAGGATTTAGGCTATGATATATTGGGATTTTAAACATTATTCTGTAAGTATGATATGCACATAGCATGTGTTACGACTTAAGAACGTCCCCAGGAACGGAACTCATTCGTAACCCGGGGACTACCTGTATTTGAATTACAGTATGTAGTACAGTACTTCTGACTCAGATTATTGTTATTCTTTTCCATTTTTACCCCCTCCTAATTTCTATACTGTACTGTATACTGTACTACTTTACTGTACTCTATATCTTTGTGTTTCTTTTTATATGAACTGTACAGATAACTTGCTGAATTGAAATCCTTGAGGCATGAAAAATTAAATGAGGTAATCATTGTACAGATGACAAATTCTCCATAATCCTGAAAATCTGTTTGCTTAACATAAGAATATTTTTACCCTCTCCTGTCAAACAGCTTTACACTCAGCTAGTTGTCATTTGTACGCCAAGCACCTGAATTGAAGTATAAGAGGACAGCACTAAGTTTATTGATAGTAAAATTAAATTGAAAATAATAACCCATAAACTTTTTGGTGGAAGGTGAACCTTGAAGTGTTCTTTATGCTGAAAGTTTTGAGCACGTGGTTTCTCTTTTGACTAATGGCTAAATAAAAGGTGCACAGGGAGGAAGTTTTAATATGTATGTACAATACAGTGCTGGACAGTGTTTAGTAGTTGATACAGTACTCTCCATTCTCTTAATTGTTTGACACACGATTTCTTTTACTGGTTAATTTTGTAGTTATAACTTAAAATATGTTTAAACTTATGATTATTTTCACTGTGATCACTTCTCTCCTTTACAGAAATATGGATGTTCAATATACTCTCATAAGAGAGCTGAAGCCTGGGATGAAGAACCTCAAACTTGTGTTTATAGTGTTGGAAATTGGTAAGTTAATAAGCATGACTTTGGAGGATGTCTATTCAGCATTGTCCCCACTTGCAAACATAAGGGTACAGCATTAAGAATTACTGTACTATAGAGGAATACTGCAAGTTTTTTTGGACATGAGGATAGGATATTGGCTGAAGAAGTAAGATGCTTAACAGAACTCTTGTAGGTCAGAAACAAGGAGGTGTTAGGCTGTACTTTATTGATCAGATATTAGCACATACCTGAAGGTGGGAAAGTGAAGTTTAGAAAGGCAGAAGAAAACATATTCCACGTGTGTGGAATTAAAGAAAGTGTTCGGAGATACATGAGACGCCCTTGTTGAAAGTGTTGATAGTGTATGGAGCTTGTCAAAATATAATGAAAGTGGACAGGAGATTTTTATGGACTAGCACATGTAAAACTTAATACATAGTGGTTGTAAATACTGTAGATGGGAAATTATTTAATGTCTTGATGGGTGGAGCAGCTTGAGACTTGCAATTGAGAATAAGAGACTGCAGAATATAACTGAAACTTGGTGACATAGAGCAAAAGCTAATTGCATCTACTGTATTGTACTGTGTGTGGGTAATGTAGTGCTGCTAGCTGAATTTGAGGGAAAGTTGGGAGAATAATTATCTGTGCTTGGTAACCAAATGGATGATAGCCCATTGAGCTGGTATGGGCAGAGGAAAGAGTTACAACAGTGGCTGGAGGTACTGTACAGTACAAGAGTGAGGAGTAGGATGGACAAGCTATAAGTGAAGCTGTCATGTGTTCAGTGATGCTGAAAGACTTGTATCTTTAATGAACAGAAAAATTATTTTATTATTTTTCTGTAGGTCGAGCAAATATGACAAAGGAAAACCATGAAGTCCGGTCTGTGAAAGTGGCAGATCGATCTGGCTGTGTCAACATATCATTATGGGATGAACCAGGCCAGCTGCTGCAGGTGGGTTGATTTTGTATAGACCACAGCAACTGAGTTACTGTAGTAGGAATTGGATGATATGACCAAACCTGAAGACAGGGGTGAGATACACACTAGTTAATGTGGTGTCATGCTCCCATTAGATTTTCCTGCTCTCTGTTTTTTGTGAGGGAAACTGGTTTTCTACTCACATTTTTTAATGTTCACACCACACTCGGTCTAGTTCTACAAATTAAAAATATTAAGACAGATTGTATTTTAAATTAAGGAAATTTGTTAGCACATGATCCGAGCCATTAAGTATTTAAATGATTAATGAAAAACACAATATTGTATCTTTATTAGAAGATTCTGGATGTTATTATAATTGCAGAAAAATGTGATATGTGGCCACTGGCATCAACAAAACATTGTGTTTTATTCAACATGACTTCAATTTCCTTCATTTTGCAAAAAATGTAGTGCTAATTAACACTTGCCTAATTCTCCAGCATCTTTTAATTAAATTTTCAAGATTTATTTATAACTAGAATACCCGGTAATGATCAAATGTTTACAAGTACCCTGTTACCACATGAGGGTTTGGGAAACTTGCTTCATATGATGTTTTAACAGAATTGAAACTGTTTTATTGTATTCTGCTTGTCTAATTATTTCTTTGGTGTTTAATACTTCTTCCAAGTTTATCTTTAATTGTGTTTTCTGTTTGTACGATATTCACCAAACAGTCAAGCCATTTAAACTTTACACACCATTAAATGCTGAAGAGTGTGCAGCACAGTAACATTCCATATATTTGCTATATCTCATAAAAAATAGATTTTTCTCTTTACAGTGGTACAGTACTGTAATAGGGTTATGGTATTACTACTATAGTAGACCCTTGCCATTCGCAAGTTTGCGATTCGCGATTTCGATGATTCGCGGTAAGCAGATAGTGGCAAGCTTGCAAGCCTTTTCCGGCAGCACGAGTCACCCCGTGCAGCATCTCGTGTTGTATTCTCGAAACTTTAATGTTTCTGTGTGAAATGGCCCCTAAAAGACTGCCTAGTGTCAGTGCTAGTGGGGTGTAATGTAAAAGGCAGAATTCAGTGATGACCCTGACAAAGAAGGTTTTATTATTAGATAAGTTAAAAGAGGGGATGAGTGCTGCCATGGCTGGTCAGTTGTTTGTTATAGGTATTCATGTACAGTAGTGCACTAAGGTAATATAAGTTGCTATTTATGGTTTTGCCAATTCACACCATTTCTTGGAACCTATCCCTCTCGAATGGCAAGGTTCTACTGTAATACTGGCACACAGGCTATGAATTATACATTTTCCCCTTTCTCATTGGGGATTCAGACCTGTAATCAGTTAAGTGCCATCCCAGTATAGTAACCATTCCACTGGTACAAAGTAAAGTGGTTTTCATTAGATTGCACTTGAAGATTAGAATGAATGAGAGGATTAGGCTTACTTCAGCAATCATACACAAGCCAGAAAATAAGGAAGAAGCAAGGAAAAGAGTGAGATACAACAAGAAATGGTAATATAACAACCTATGAAAAGACAGCAATGAGTATGAGAAAATATTTGATGGATGGCTATTAGTGCTAAGGGGGATGGGATTGATTATTTTGAGAGAGATGTGCTGGTAACTGAGGATGGCTAGTATAGTATGCTGTTGTTAGAGGTAATTGATTGAGGGAATACTTGTGGTACTCGTAGATATGTTTAGGAGATAACGGTAATTGCACATTTTATGCAATAGCAAAATAGCTGGATGCTCTGCCAAGTAGTGTTGTATTAATGTTTTTTTTTTTTTTTTTAGCCAGGTGATATTGTTAATTTGTCCAAAGGCTACGCCAGTTTTTTCAAGAATTGTTTGACACTCTATGTTGCCAAAGGTGGAGACCTGCAGAAAGTGAGTGAGTAAGTACATTTGATCTTTAATTTTCTTTCATTAATATAGTACAGTATATAATTACCAATACTCAGGGGTAGAGCACTGACCCAACAGATAAATGATCCTACATTTTGTTTTTGTGTATCATGAAGGAATGGGTTCCATATTTGTACATTAACCTGTGCACACTTGCCTATGATAGAAGAACTCTAGCATCCTACTAAGGGGTAAGGGTATCCTACTGTACAACCCGTTGAAATATATAAACCAAAGAGTTGGCACCTATCTGGCCACTGTGTATCATAGCAGGAAAATGCTTGGAAGAATAGAAAGGAAAAATACAGCTACTCCTCGACTTACGACCTACTCGACTTACGACCACCCTGACATACGACCGCCCCAGTCGTACCAAATTTGTTTCAAATATTTTTGAGTCCCGACGTTAGTGATTGCGCTGTGTACTGACAAAATTTTCGTTTGTAATTCCCTCTAAAGTGGCTGGCAAACTTAAAAGTGAGAGTTTTGTGGTGCTGAGAAGTACCCATTTTAGATTTTCTATGTATTATCTTTGCATTTTCGACTTACGACCAATTCGACTTACGACCTGGATTTGGGTCCCTAACCCTGTCGTAAGTCGAGGAGTGGCTGTAGCTTAGGTGGTTATAACAGTTGCTATAGTGTGTCTTATATTTGTAGAGCTTGTCTTTCATCTTGTAAATGAGGATAATATTGATTTGTGGGTACAGTATGAGGTGTGTGTGTGTGTGTGCATGCCTTGCAGTTTAAGAATGGCAGATTTTATGAGAAAAAACACAGGATGAAGTTTCAAGGTTCTGAGGTAAATGAAGGAAAATGGTGTTTATAAATGTTGCAACTCAACACTGTATTTATGACACACAGTAAAGTAGTTAATAGTAAGCCTTGGTTTCAAGAAATTCAAACAAATGGTTTGAATTTTGTCAGAGCATTGCCCATTAAAGTAATAGTAGGATAAGGAAAGGGAGGAAACTAAATGATGGACATGAGAGAGAAGACAGGAAGTGAGGATGAGATCACTAACAAAGAGTATTGTTTTAGACTTGTTTTTTATGATCATTAAATGATTTCAGTACTGTAGTTGATTCTCTCCATGTGTACTGACCTTAAACAGTACCCATACAAACAATGGTCTACTTGTTGACAATTTCTATAATGACTAGCAGAAAATAGTTCACATACCTTGACTAACAAACAGGGCATTCATTTTCTGCTAAGTAGTAGACACTAGGCAAGTTTAAAAACAATTAGACAGTATCTATTTTATTCAGTATTTCAAAGGAAAATTTGATGATTGTTTTTCATTCATACAGGTTTTGTATGCAGTTTTCTGAGCAACCAAACATGTCTGAACCCAATCCAGAGCTTGCAGCCGCCACAGCTGCCAGCAAACAAGTAGGAGGTGGTGGTGGAGGTGGTGACTCAGGAAGTGGTAGTACACGAGGCTCTGGATCTCAGGGAAGCTCAGGAAACTCAAGTGGGACTCCTGTGGCAGACCCTGTTCGTGATCCTAGACTACAAAAACCTAATACAAATGGTGGTAATATAGATCCTCGGGCAAATAAAGGGGGAGGGGGTGGAGGGAGTAATGTTACAGCTTCCAATGGTCACCACACTTCTGGAGGAAGACATTCTGGGGGTAACTCCAATAGCTCCACAAATTCAAGTAAAAGCCGTAATCATGCACCAACAAATAGACAGAATAGCAAGAGGTAATATATATATATACCGTATTAGTGATAGTTGATAGGAATCTATGTTAGTATGGAAGGAGATGAAAGCTCTTTTGTATGTTGTCATGAGCATAAAAACTTTTATGGACTGTAACCATTGGCCAAGATTGTGTTGTATCAAAACTTTTTGGAAATGTGTATGGGATGAACGTTTGTCAGAGGTAAAATTATCTGAATTTCCTCTTGTTCCAGTTGCATGTGATAGAGGCAAAAGGTTTTTGAATAAAAGTTTGTATTACAGTAAGTTTTCTAAAAGAAATCACCATTAACACTTCATCTATAATATTCTCAAGTCAAATGAGTGGTAACATTGTACAGGTATTACAAGGATGGGAAAATAACACCACATATTCTTGGTAGAGTTGCAAACAGTTTTTAAAGTCCTCAGCATTCCAGGTCATACCTTACTGTAGATGGAGTTTTCTTTTGGGAGGTACAGTATTTATTATAATTTATATTTTTAGAAAGATTGCATTTATTAGTATTGGTGTGTGGAAGGTCAAACCCATTAACTAAACCTGATACAATGAATAGTACATTTTATCATTTTATGTGTCACTCATGAATTATATTATCATTGACAAACTCAACACTTGAAAAAATGAAGCAGTAATATTGAGATGATTATGAAAGTATATTTATAAGTCTGCGACAAAAGATAAGTGTTTAACCCTTAAACTGCACAATATAAATCTTAGGCTACTTCTGGTGTGAGTAAAAAAATTTGATCTTTAAATTTTAAAATTCATGTTATATAACTTGTTAATATACTATACTGTACAGTACAGTACAGTACATACATGCAAAACAAAATGAAAATACAATGCAAGATGAACACAGGGAGTCCCCATTGTTTGTTAGTGATACATACCTGATGACCACGACTAACAGCGCAAAGACAAATAACGAAGCCGACTTTTTTGCTATAGATCGAAGATATTTTATGACCACATAATAATACTCATTAACTTTATAATATCTTAAATGTGCATTAGTGTACAGTACAGGTATAACTGTTTCATAAACCCTCGGTATAACTGACACAACTCCCCACCTGGGAGCTATTAGTTATGTTATCTTTATTTTTAACTCCTAATTTTGTGTAGTTGTGTAATTTTCGTTTTTTTCTGTTTTTTTTTTTACTCGGTTACATGCATACAGTACACAATCCTACATACAGAATGTGAAAAAAAATATCATAAGGAATAAAATTTAAAGTACATGGGTTTCCACCATGAAGCCATTGGTAGGGATGGCGGTGATGGAGCATACCAGCTTGGCTGCATTACAAACAGGAGTCTCCCTTGGACAGTTACGGTGTGTACACTAACTTTTACTACCTGTAATTAATTTGATTAATAAAAATTCATAGGCTTATATAACACTTAGCAGTGACAGTGATAGTCTCAGAACTGATGAGACTGTATTGTTCCCACAGTCTAACTACTCCAACATTTTCAGCGATAGCGCGCGGGGGTCAATCTGTCTTCCCCCCTCTTTTGTGCTGTAGTACTATAACTTTCTGGGCATTTAGAGGCCATAATAAAGATATTCAGAGCACTTTTAACTCAAATAAAACAGCTACCTGTAGTACCAACATAACACAAACTGAGTGTGGGAAAAACATGGTGCCACTGTGATTGAATTTGTAAACAAGAAAATGTCTTATTCAGAAATGTTTTGTGATAATTATATTTAATTTTTAAGTGAAAATAGTTGTAAAAGTTTACATATATACAGTACAGTACTCTAATTGTAATACAAAATATGGTACAGTACCCTGTAACTACATATACTGTACTGTAATAGGATTTTGTTTGTCAATAAATTTTTTTTATCAATCAATGAATCAGATATTGTGATAAAGATCTATCTTCTATTGTGTAGAAATACTGCATCATGTATTGGACATATAGGAATACAGTATTATACAGTTGGACAAACTGTACATTACACATATTTTATTTTATTTATTTTTTAATTATTAATTTAATTATCTGTACAGTATTTCAAATGAAGAATTAATGAAATGAGGAACAAGAAATCCTTGTACATATACAATACTACTTTCATATTTAATAAGACTAGCAGCCATGTAAATTAGATTTCATGAGCTTCCTCTAGCAAGTTTAATTCACATGACACAATACAGTAGTATTATACAGAATTACTATAACACAGCATTTAGCACTTGAGAGTTTATTTACTTCAGAACTCTTATGGACACTTTTCGACAGAATGATCTTATACCGTACAGGAATATTCATGTATAGATGCACTTTTCTTCAGTGCAAGTATATACTGTATACTGTATTGTACAGTATATGTTGTATACCTTTTTATATAGTTCATTATTTACAATTTCTGGCCACTTTCTTGTATTTTTTAGGGTATTAAACTCCCTAAAACATTCTCCAATATATAGTGGGGTGTCACAGAAAAATTTAGTGTGTATCTTATTGTAGAGTTTGTCAGTTCCTTAACACTGGGTATTTCACCAAGGAGATTATATGGTGTACCACTACTCTACCATAGAGTTTCACTTCACTTATACTTGATAAATGATGATTTAATGAATTCCATTAATTTCCAATGTCCAACTAAGTTATTTATTATACTTTGGCATAATCAGTCAGTCATTACCTTTAGTAATTAGTAAGGTAGAGCTCAAAGATGCAGGCAGATAATTGCACTTGTACTCATTTGTCAAAGATCCATACTGTACTGTACACTGATACAATTTGCACGGACATATGAGTCATTCACTCACATTCACACCGTAATATAAGTAACGTAAGGAAGGAGTTTGTCAACTTGGGGACCCCACATTTAATTATGCTACTATTGGATGGCCTTAATTCCTCCATTGATACATTGACTTCACTGGGGAATATAATCACTTAGGTTCACTAGGCCAGCCTGTATTGTTCTTATAGAAAACGGGCCTTCACAAGTGATTTTTTTCCACAGGAGTGCACACACACAGTCTCATGTCACTGACAGTCCTCTGGATGGGTGTCACCACGGAAGACCATATAAGCGCCTCGTTCTTGAAGGCAGGGGGTCTTAACTAGTCCATGGTGTGGGGCTTATTGGCTTAGATGGGGTTGTCCTAGGTATGGAACACAACGAATAAAAAATACATTGTCCTACTGGGCCCCATAGGTTGTCTCTATACCTCGCTAATGGAATCTTGACAACGCCGACACCTCACCCACACTCTTATCTAGCTTCAAACAAGCTTTCAGGTTAGGTTGCATGAGGCCTAAGCCTCACACAACCCATGACATGGGACTTAATTCTCTCTCTCTCTAAAAAAAAAAAAAATACCATTTTGATGGTGTAAGATACATGGGACGCTAATGCTTTGGTATTGTACCTCCATTGTGAGAGATTGACAGGAATGTATCTTCCATGATGTAAAACAAAGCACTGATTGGTAGGGGAGGATGATACCCACTCAGGGCTGCCCAGTTGATTACAACACATCACCCAGTCAAGTTACACCATGCAGACTTTAAATTGTGGCTCAAAAACATAAAATGTCATTTGACACCGTTACTGGTGAATTGTGCAGTTTCAATTGATGTGGATAGCAGTTTAAGGGTTAAAGTACCATACACCTGTTGACACCTCCCAAAGATGACTTCACTTGGTATGATATAATTGAGTTCCAGTCAACACTTATACTCGACATCATGAATGCTGTGTCTTTCATTCTTATCACTTTGGCACATGCATGTGTGAACATTTCAATCATGGTGGATATTGTCCTGTTAGAATGACATTGACACGGGTACAATAGACTCTTCAGTTGGATAACTATAGGTTTTACAGAGTTGGCCATTCCTTGCTTGCAACTTGGCTATCTTTTGCAATACCAGTGGAGGTTACTACAAGAAACCATTGATAATTGAAATTTTTTGTGATAATACATAGGACCATTCTTGAAAAACCAAACATTGTGGCTTGGTTTATAATTTCATGTATTATAAGAATCTGTTTAATATTAAAATAAAGTAATTTTTACAGCCTTGAGTATATTTCTTTAATGATTTAACTGTAATCTCATCTTTATGTCCAGCACTTTTTTTAATACTGTTCTGATAAAAGTTCTCCCTATTCATGAGAAATAGCTTCATTTCTTTGCACAGGAAAGGCAGATCAAGGTATGTCTTAGTTCTCTGAAGTGACTTCAATTGTTTTTTGCTGCAGAATAATACAGGAGGTACCAGTAATATAGCACAATGTTAATTTTCTTCAGAATTTGATGAGAAAATTCCTTGATCAGGATCTCAATCCTGCCAGTATGGATGAGCTGGAAGTCCCAAGTTGCCCTAGCAGACACTGTGGAAGACCAGGCAATGTTGTTGAGTGCAAGTGGTCCTTGTTTCAGATAACAATCTGGTCAGCAGCTGAAGACTTTACTCTAGCAAGGTATTTAATTGTAAACTTATTTATACTGTAGTAAGAATCGGTTACTAGTCATGTGGGAAACACAAAGCTATTTTCTTTAAATTTTCAGGTTATGGTCTTCAACTGAAAACATTCAATGCTAATTTAATTTACGTATTGACAACTTGACGAAGTAAATAGCTGGAGACCTACTATGGAAGACGTAAATAAACATTTGTGTGTAATGGTTATACACTTCATCTACCTCGTGTAGATGGTACCGAGTTTTAAATTACAGTACAGTACTACAAAATATTTCACTAAGGAGCTCCCCTGTGGAGGGTGACCATAACAAAAGAGACTCCAGACCACCTTCACATCTCTCGTCCTATCTATTCCTTCTTACCTCTGTATCTTGTTCTCCATGTCCCCTCCACAAATGTATCTGTTACATTACTTCTATATATGCACTCACTTTATCATCCTATCATTTGATATCCTCTTCTATTACAGAACCTCTTTTGACCCTTTTCATCTAACAATTCAGAAATTGTCTGTCCTCAGTCACCCCAAATAAATCATGTCATTATTTCTCAACCTTTCCATTCTGTTGTCCCCCACGTGGAGTCCTCGGTAACTTTTATTTTGTAGTTTGAATTGTTGAGCACTGCTTCATGGTAAGCCCATAAAACACAACCACAGGTCAGAAGGTTTATATTACTCCTCTCTTCACCATTACCTCCATGCTTTTGTTTCTTCCCTTATCACTTCACAGCTCTTCAGTTGCCTTTCTTCCCTTTAATGTTCAACCCAGATTTCATGCTATTGTGAGAATATTACTTTGTATTATTTCCATTTACAGTATTTGATTTCTTACATTTCATATATCAAAGTTTTACATTTACAGTTTGTTAATTATTTCTAGTTTACCAATATCCACTGTAACATACTTCCTTCTCCTAAATACCATTATTTTCCTCTTCTTGGCATTTAATTTTTTATATTCACTTATCATACCCCCTGTGCTGTTCACTACCTTTTGCAGTTTGTTTATTCCACAATTTTTTTTTCATCATTGTAGAGAAGTTCCCAGTGGTCAAATCTAGTTCAAACTTTGCTGCTGCCCCAGCTACCCTACATAGAGGGAGCACATCCCTACCTTATTCCAGCTCCCATATTTACCCATACAGTACATATATGGCAATGTTCTTACAGTGACTGACCTACTGCAAGCAGCTGTTCTTTTTTCTTTATAAATCCTCAACACCCAGTCTACCCATGAACCTTATGCTATCTCCAGAACTGTATATGGTACATACAGTAAACTTTTTTGGCAGTGTATCTATTGTAAATAATTGCACTACACACACTTTAACCTATGCAGTATTTATTTTTCTTCAACAAATTTCCAAATATTTATCTTAAAAAAAACTTTAGTGGTATACTAAACCATGCACACCATTTTAAAAGATATTCTAGGAAGCATAATTGTACTAGGGACTGATTGGAAAACCTCTAAACTGCAGAATATATCCATTAAATTTAAACTAGAATTCAAAGGAGCTGATAACTTTCAGGATGGTGAGGGGAGGATAAAGGAACATAACATTGCTGGGTCATACTAGTAAGTATTGGCTGTAGCATCTAAAATTACTTGGCCATTATGAAAGATGAAGTTTTTTTCACCTTGTGTATAACAATCGATTTGAAAGTTTTGCATTTTCACCCGCAACTTCCCACCTTAGCTATAGTTCATGTGATGTTTCTAAACTACAGTATAAAAATCAGGTCAGAAAATTCATTATTGTGTTAAAATTATTATTATTATTATTTACAGTGTGGAATGACTATAAATACTCCAACTAATTTTCTGTTTGTCCGTGTTTATTATTAACTCGTGCAATCTACAGTATTGGTATTAAAACTTATTGCTAGAAGGAAATTTTAAATTGTTAAAACTCCAATTAAAATGCGAGGGTCTGAGCAGGTTTCCCATTTCACTCAGCAGGATAATTGTTCTATTACAGCAGCTCTAATCTGACTATGTTTGGTCCATATTTAAAAAGAAAATCAGAATTTCTTTTCTAGTCAAGCCTTAACAAAATGGGAGGGTCCAGTGTGGATTTTCATATAGGTACTAAGGGGCAAAGTTGTCAAAACTAACAAAGAAACTTGAGCAATTCTACCTGGATTGTCAACTGTGCAGCCACTTCTGACACCAGCCTTACAGGATGTATAATTTAAAAGCATTATACAACTAATTTTATGTATGAAGTCTCACCAATCATACTGTCAATGCTTTCTCTCGAGTGCAATTAATGAATTATACCAGTAAAATGCTCAAGTGGTAACAAATGCAACAAATTATTACGAGAAAATTAATAACCACTAAAAGTCATAAGTACCAGTTTTGCCATTGCTATGTCTTCTGTTTTCTCTTATGTAAACAGTAGTTTGCTTGACATTTTATAAGTTTAATAGCTACCAATAAATTTTTGTTGGTCAATACAAATGATTGAAGATTACCACATGTTAAATTATCCAAATATGATGCACTGGTCACCATTCATTCCATTCAACCAACAAGAACAATGTCTGAAAGTTACTCGAGCTGAATGAACTGCCTCCACAATTAGTGCTCATTGTCATAATACTTGAAAAAAAGGTTTTGTGAAGCATTACAAATTCAATTAGTTTTGTGGTCTAGAGGAAACCAGATTTTATTTTAATTTTTTTGTGGGTTATCAAACCGTTTCTTAGGGTTAAAAGATGAGTAGTTATTCATTAACTACTATGTCAAGATTAGTTCTTAGACCATTAAAATGCCATCCCACAGTGTTGTGATCAGACTTCTCATGATGTCTATTTTAAGTGCTGACATTTGTGTTTCTTTTCAACTACAGTACAGTGCTCTGCAGAGACTGTAAAATGGAGTTCACTTTCCCTATCAAAAGGAGATATTTAGGCAGCCATCTTCTTGGCTAGATCTTCACGGACGGCCTCAAGGAAATCGTTTGTGTACAAGTACATTCCTTCCTTTACATTCTTAATGCCATGAATACAGCCAGCAAGATCTTTGGTCATGTGGCCAGCACCAATGGTATCAACACAAGCTTTCTCTAGAGACTGGGCAAATCTGGAAAAAATAAATAAATACAATTATTGTAGGAGCAATAAACTGCACAACAGTACAATATACTTTGTTACAAAATAGCAAGAGTCAGACAAATGGAGATAAACCACAAATTATCTACCTGTATGTCTGACAGGGGAAAACATTTGAAGCTTCAAGAGAATAAACAATCCACGGAGAGTAAAGCCATTTTCTGTAGTTTATTACCATTCCTTCATTCTAAGAACAAAAAACTTACACTTGTGTTTTTACTACTTTAAGTTGAACTGTATATGGTTAAATAAAGCAGTGCAATGTAAACAAACTTGCATTAACAATATTCATCATCTTGCCAACTTGGAATATGAGACACATTACTCACTTCATTGGTCAGTGAAGGTGTCATCTACCCAAATGCTGCCTTGTGGCCATCTGGTGAACTATAATTTGTGCTCAATGTTTATCGGTTATCATCGGTGTTGTTATTTAGCATGGACGTGTATTTCTTTACAAAACAGTGAGGAAATCACGAAACTTCATAATGTACTATGTTTAAGTGACTATGAAGTGATTTTTGCTGTTTTTTATGATTGAAAAGTGCTTTGCCTCTGTATTGTGAACAAGAGGTGAGCAGTATCATTATTTTTGTTATTTTGTTTTCCTTTACAGTTATAGGAAATTATAGTTTCAGTGTACTGCACTAAAGAGGTTAAGTACATGGTACTCAGTTTTAGTGACTGAAGTGTTTTCTCTTGCTTTGGTGACTGAAGTGCTTTACTCTGCTTTAATGATTATGAAGTGTTATCCCTCTGTTTTTGTGACAGGGAAGTGAACAGTGTAACTGAAAATGTCTGGCAAGTGTTTTGCTCACCATCTTTAAGGCCAGGATGAAGGCTACACCTCCAGTCCCCACTCTTCAAACTCCTTAAAGTTTGTGTGGGACTCGGGTTGATGTCTCCCTAGCCTCGATGAAGACATAATGACGACCAGACTTGTTCATAATGATGTGGTACGTGTTGTTAAATTGCGTTATAGTGACAGTAGTATTCTAGGTTTTTTTTTTTCTTTTTTTTTCGGCGATACATATGGGGTCTGACTCGCCAAGAACCTATCCCATTGAACCCCTTATTATAATGAACCTCATTTATGATATTTTGACCTGCGATACAGTTTTCAGGAACCTAACCCCACCGTAAACAGAGATTTACCTGTAGGTACTGTATTATTTACCGAGGCACTTTTTAGGAGTAGGCACTTGACATGTGCCATTGGCTAAAGCACAAATTTATACTGTACAATATAGTTTACCACATATTATACGCTGTCACAATCCTGCCACTGCACCATGTGTTGATACTGTACCCTGATATGATGAAAATGTGACTTTTATTTACACCGTTGGTTCTCAACCTGGGAGGCTTTTGAGATTCCTGGGGGAGGTGGTCAGTGATCAACAAATGCCATTAAGATATATATAGGTAATTAACTTCGTAATGGAAAACTTGACATCTGTCACCTCGTGGTATTGCCATAAAAACGTCATCCTATTTTAAGCTATGCTTGATCTGTAGTCAGTTGGCGAGTAACTGTCCAACGGGGAAGGTACATATGTTTCTCTCTCAGGTTTGAATAATTTGGCTTCATTTTATAAATGTAAATTAGGTTTATCAGTCATTTTTTTTTTCTTCATATAAATACCAAGCTTTAATGGTTTTTATTATTACAGTAATCCTATAATTATCTAGAGTTCAGGATGTCCATATGGAACTGTTAAAATTTTTCGCTCTTTGGGTATGGGGGGGCGCCATGGATACAGGGTTGACCAAAGGGGGGCACAGTGCCAAAAAGGTGAGGAACCACTGATTTACAAGATTAGTGGGAATTTTATCATTTTCCAGGAAGTACTGTGGATATATTCCCTAAACCTGGGTGTCCCTTACCTTAGCCGACATTAATCTATGCCCTAAACCATGTAGGGGTGTTAAGTGACAGTAGAGATAAGCACTTAGAGCACAGAATCCCTATTTTTTCGACTTCCCTCCCGAATTTTTCCCAGCGAGTCAAAGAAGGCTAAACTGAAAACTGACGGTCGTTAAAGACGAAAGGGTGCTAAAAATGTTAAATCACCAAGTGAACGATTGTTATAACGAGGAATACCTGTATTACACAGGTCCACACCTTTAAACATACACACTTCCATATAGTACACCCATTCATGTGCTCTTATACAATCATTCATACATACAAAAAAAAAAGTTGTGACTGATTAGACAATTATGTAAGTGGGTAGTAACAACTCATAGTATACCTGGCCAGCTCTGGAGTTCCATCCAGCTTAGCACGGTGTTCAAGTCCTTGGGTCCAAGCAAAAATGGAGGCAACAGGGTTTGTGGAGGTTTTGTTACCCTTCTGATGTTCTCTGTAATGCCTCGTTACTGTGCCATGAGCAGCCTCTGATTCTATGGTCTTGCCGTCCGGACACATCAAAACTGATGTCATCAGACCAAGTGAACCTGGTGTTGGCGAAAGTAAAACATTATTATTATTATTATAGGTTGACAATCCTTTATCCGAAATCCTTGGGGCCAGAGGCATTTCTGTTTTCCGAATTTTTCGGTTTTCAGAGTTTTTTTTTTTTTTTTTTTTTTTGGGGTGTGTGTGTTTGTGTGTATTAGCCCACCCGGGCATAGATCACTGACCCACATTGGGACCTGGGGGTCAAAAATATAATAAAAATTATAATAATAATTCATAGGTCTAGGTCGTGTTTCTCACTTTTGATCTTTTTTTCATTCTTGTATTTCTTTACTGTATTATTATTTTATTATTACAGTATTATTTGTTATTATTAATTTTATTATATTTTATTATTATTATTATTATTGTAATCATTATTAATTTATTTTGGTGTAATTTTTATTAAAAATTTTATTTACTATGAATAATTATTATTATTATAATTATTATTACCTGTATTACATTTTTGCCCCCCAGGCCCCGATGTGGGTCAGCGATCTGTGCCTGGGTGGGCTAATAATCCCTGTTTAAAAAAAAAAAAAGCCCCACAAAAAACTTTCGGTTTTTAGAGCTTTTCGGATAAAGGGTTGTCAACCTGTATTATTATTATTATTATTATTGCAAACCTTAAGGGGTTCTGTAATTGTAAACTTAAGATGATATGAATTTTTGGGAAAACAAAGAGTTAGGTTCTGGGTGCCACTAAGAAAATCGTTTATAGGTATTTTTACCCACTATAAACAGTGTTGCAGGCCTTCAATAGCTTTAACTGTACATTAAAGTACTGTCTAATTAAACAATAATGCATTCCTATTTAAAACAGGAAAATAAATACTGTACTGTACTTAGGTTTGGCCATTGGCCATTACTGATTTATATACTGTACCTCCTATAAACAGTATATTTTATTTTTGCAATTGAAAATACATCCATATTCTTCATTGGCTGTGATTATCAAAATGTGGAAGCAAGTGATGCATTACCAAATTGGAGAATGTCTCTGAATTTCTTCAAATATCTAAAAAAAAAAATGCATATGGATTAAAGAAAATTTTTGTCTCAATGCATTAACATTCACAATAGTTGGTGATATCTCTCACGTGAAAGAATCACCAACTTGGTACTAATGGTTTTCACCACCACTAACCAATAACATACAGCACATTTAGTGTGGGATACACGTGATACCTATTACAGTATTATTGTGTGTGCATTACAGTACAGTTTATTATACTGTACTGTAGTTTTGATGATGACAATTTTGGTTTTAAATACTATACAGAAAGACTTTATGAAAGAAAAAAATCTCCACATGTAGTATGATGCAGCCACTAGACCTGCCAATGCAGTTATGCCAGAAAGCTTTGCTGATGAGAATACACGTGAATTTTGGTCCTGGAAACAGGTTTTATGTGAATTATGTCACAACAAATGATGCATTAATGAGGCTTTATTGTACTACACACTGACAAGTGATTGGGTACCATTAATGTGAGAAGCTTCATACTCACCATAACCCTGAGCAACAATGTCAGACTGGACATCCCCGTCATAATTTTTACAAGCCCACACAAAGCCGCCAGTAGACTTGAGGGCCTGGGCTACCATGTCATCAATGAGGCGATGCTCATACCATATGCCTTTTGCATCAAAGTGTTTCTGGAAGTTCAAAAATCATTATCAACATTACAGTGTGCACCTCCACATCAGACTGTTATAAGTGTACTACAGGTAGTTCCTAACTTCCATCCACATGTGAACTACAATATGCTGCTTACATACCACAAGTATCTGTGCTGTGCAAATATTTTTAAAAAATTATGAAATACAGTACTGTAATTATAATGAAAGGAAGAAATTTCAAGCAAACATTATTGTTGGTTTGCATTAAACTGTACACACTGTGTTATAAATGTATTGTACTGTATTCAGTTCTAAATGTCTGATCAACCAGAAAAAAAACAAGTTTAGTTTATCTACAGTATAAAAAGTAAACCATAAACAGAATTAGTACACTGTATGTTGAAAAGAAAAACTGCTGCAGTTTTCAGAGTGAAGGAAACATATACACCAGAATACTGTATAGAAAAAGTAGAGCAAGACAAAATACAATGGAGTTGGTGAAGGTTTAAATCAAACAAAAATTAACAATATTTGGGAATAATTTATACTTAAGGCCTGAAGACAATGTAAATGCATACCCCCCCCCCCCAAGCAAATAATTATCACTTGAACGAGTGTAGATAACAAACTCTTTTTCTGTGTTAATTAAGTATCGTTTTTCTGTGTTAATTAAGTATCGTTATAAATAAAAATGCATACAGTGGTCCCTCCGTTAACGAACACAATTCGTTCCAGTCGTTCGTTAACCGAATCTATTGTTTCAATGGGATATTGGGTAATTGGTTCCAGCTTACAGAAAAAAACATACAAAGTAATAAAAAAAATGCAGTTAAGTACACTTACTTTGAGGTGTGTATGTAGAAGGTTCCTGGTTGATGATGGGAATTAGATGTGGGGGTGGAGAAGAAGGAAGTGGGGATGGAGGAGAAATCACCTTTCAGGGGTACCCATGCTTGATGCAGTAATTTCACCAATAAAATTTTAAATTCACTAGGTGTAATTCAAGATTATTTTATTTAAATCAACACTGTACTGCACTATATATCAATATGTTAACTAAATTTCAGAATGACCAATAATTTTAATGTAAAAAATGCAAAAATATTAAAGAGCACAACTATCTTGATATTTATTCCACTGGAAACGAATGTAAACATAGAACAGATTACTGAAGTGGGAGACTAGCCCATCAGCTGATGCTCACAACAAAACGTGTTTGTCGTAAGGATATCGTTAATCGAAGTTTTGTTCGTTAATCGAACCGTTCGTTAACCGAGGAACCACTGTATATATAACGAGGACTTAGCATGAATTGCCCTAGTACAGTAACAACAATGCTAAAATGTATGTTAATGAGAAATATACCTTGTATTCTGCCTGGTAGACCTCCTCAAAAATATCCTTGAAACGTCCATCGTACCGCTTGAGAATTGTGTTCTTCGTGGACATGTAGAGAGGCCACCCCTTTGTCAAAGCAACCTGTCAAAATAAATTTTTAATTTTCCACGATTGAAGAAATTTGTTTTCAAGTCTTAAAGTACAGTAATGGTATTCATGGTGAATTATCCAACAATCAGTAAAGGTACAGACAGATTACTGGAAATCTGTTCAATCTACACTAACTGTAAATTTAAATCGGACCGGACGTGAAAATCCCATTTTATAGCAGTCGGGAAAAGGAGACTCGTGTGTAGTACCGGTATAACCAACAACTCTTCGGGATACAACCCTGACTTTATCCATAATACAGAAAGCTAGTATTGTACTGTATTAATATACAATTAGTACATCTCTCACACAGCAACCATTACCTTAAAAAAGGGGCATCATAAGGGATAGCTTTCCCTGAGGGTTAAGAGATGCGCAATAAATACACACCTCTATTGCTTTACACGAGGTCCATCTAAACGAATTCACTACTATATCACAAATATCAATATGTATGAGGCTAGGTTTGTATTGAAAGAATATGGTGTACACACTATACCATTTCAAATTCCCAATTGCTGAGTGCTCTCTCTCTCTCTCTCTCTCTCTGTACCATTTAATACATATAAGGCAAGACAATTTACTTACTTGGAAGGAAGAATGAGCAAAAGAATTAATACTCTCATCTGTGTTGTACATGGCCATGGCAACACCACCACCATTCTTGAAGTCAAACACCTTCATTCTCTGGGCCTGACCACCATCAGGGGTGTACACAAGCTCCACCTGTTGATAAATTTACTGAGTTAGTACAGTACTGTACACTCCTATCACAAAAATGTCTATATTTCAGCTACATTTACATTTATTACTCAAAACTGTAGTCTAAACATCATGAATTAAGACCTTGGCTCTACATGTCAGCAGTACTGTATATTGGCTAAGTTATCAACCACCCTTGACACTACTCATATTTGCTTACAAAGCAAGTTGTCTGCATTTTTAATGGCTTAAGTTTTGTTGATTTTTTTTCATTCATTCTTCAACCATATATTATCACCATGTCAATTCACAATTCAGTGTTACTCATCTATCAATACACTGTAAATTAATATACATTTTTTAATGTGTTAAATAAAACACAAATATCAATGGTTCCCCCCACCCTCCATTTACTCAAACTGTGTACCTGTACTGTAAAAAAATTTCCCAGGGAAAATAGGCGGACGTTCTGAAACGTCACCCGGGGCCTAAGGGTTAAAGGAGCAACTACTGTAGACCACTTACTGTGCCATTGGCAGGAATGACAACATCAGTAGCCTTGTACTGGTCACCATGGGCATGTCTGCCAATGACGATACTCTGAGTCCAGCCTGGCACAAGGCGCGGGATATTCTGGCAAAGGATGGGCTCACGAAACACTGTGCCGCCCAGGATATTACGGATGGTTCCATTGGGACTCAGCCACATCTTCTTAAGCTTGAATTCTGGAAATAAATAAATAAATAAAACCACATGATGTACTGTACTGCATTACCACAAACACAAAAAAACTCAAACATGACAAATTTGGAAAAGAAAACAATGGATGTTACTAAAACACTAAAGACTTTCAGCTCTCAGGTTCCACGCTGGTTAGCTAACAGATTACGCTAAGGGTGTTGAAGCAACCATACTCCTGATGCTTGGCAGACCAGACAACTGATATAGTTCCCTCACACCAGATTCAGCCCATACATCGTAAGTAAAAACTAAAATATTTAAGAGTGATACAGGACATTCCCATAATAGTAATTCAATCATGGGCAATAAATACTTGGGAGCAAAAACTACTACAATACCTACATCTGAAATGACGATGGATCATGAAGTACCTCTGGCCCAGTAACCTTGAACAAAACAGAGCACAAGCTGCAAAACAACCCTCACCTTCAACACGCTGTTCATCTGGGGTGATCGTGGCACATTTGATGCCAACGTTGTACTTCTTGATAGCCAGGGCTGAATCAATGGTCACCTGATCATCTGTCTGGTCACGGTATGGCAGACCCAGGTCGTAGTACTTGCAGTCGATCTTCAACAAACAATTATAGTTTCAAATTTGTTAATTTCATGGCTGTGATTATAATGCAAACTATGGATGACCCCATGGCCACTAAGCACTAGGGAATTATATAAAATAAAAGGAATCTATAGACTTTATCTTAAAAAATTAGATCTGTGGATCATAGGGGCTTGAAAAATGGGCTTATCATCATTTTGTAGAAAGCCAGTGGGTAAAAGCCTTAACAGATGAATGAACAAATACATAATACGGTTGATGACAACACCACTCCAGCACTGGTGACCATAAGATAAAAAAATTACATTCAACCTTTGTCATCTATTTGTGACTGACCTTTTATGTACAGTCCTTACCCTTGTTCATAATGTGACATGGTGATAATAGGTAAATCTATGAACATCCAGAGATTATCTTCAATAGTTAAAAGATAAGGAACTGACAAGAAAAATTTCATATGACTAACTCTCTGGCCTTAACCTTTAATACAGTACATGGTCATGATTTTTGTTCATGACAATGTGTTGACACAAGACTCCAGAAATCCCAAAATGTACAAATTAATGAGACCTAATGATGTTACAGTACTGTACTACCAAAAGACAAATCCGGTACAGTGTCGAGGATACCTGAGGGTTTAGACATTTCGTAATACAGTATAGGCTACTGAGGTTATTTTTTATCTTCACTTTGATGAAATCCAAAAGTGATGGAAAAATTATTAAAATTATGTAACCCCAGACTGAAAGTGAAGCAGCACAACTTGTTGGTCATTACCTTAAGGTATGGGAAGATGAGGGACTCCTTGATATTCTCCCAGATGATGCGGGTCATCTCGTCTCCATCCAGCTCCACTACGGGGTTTACCACCTCAATGCGCTTGTCAGTGCCATCTGAAACGGAGGAAAAGAGTGAACTTAAACAATCCAGCACACAGTGAGGTAAGAGAGAATAATGGAGGGGAGGGGATGGTAAATTTGTGTAGAATGTTCACATCAAAAGTATAATTTCATTTAGTTCAAAAGTACAAATAGTTTTACAAATACTGTATTGATATTTTCTTGCTGTTAGAGACAGCTGCATCACCTTTACCTGAACTATTCCTTATGTGCTGATACTGATAGATTCTGTCGACAATGAACCCGACCTCACTTTGAATCTGAATTGTGACCTGACCTGACACACCATTATCCGACGTCCTTTACCTGGAGAATTGACCAGTGTCCTTACAGTGACATATTGTAACTAGAAGGGATTTAACACTCATTTATATAGAGAACGTTTACTGGATGACTGTGGTCGCCAACCCTCAAATGTGAGGGCGGTATTGATGGATTAGGGAGTTACCAGGCGTGTAGTGCCCCCAGCATGGTGCAACTTTGGTTAACTATTATGATATTTTTATTTGTCTACCTAGCAATAATTAAGAGTGGATGTTAATTGGTGGATAGCGTTATGGTGTAATGGCTAGCCAACAGGAGGCAACTTGTCCACTCTTCTTGGCTCATAAAACTTATTAATTCTGGTTGTGTTGGTGTCAGCTTCCACACTTTATATTCACGTCTAGGTGGCCTTTAGGCTGGCTGCTCTCGAACATGACGGGAAGTCATTATACTATTATTAAGGGGTTGTGTCCGGAGGGTTGAGTTATAACTGCTGTTCATCCTCTGCCTACCTCTCATCCCAACACGAACTTTACTTATGTATCAGACAACAAAACGCCCTGTAGAAAGTGTTATACTGTAGTTCTATTATTTTACACCCACCTACGGACGCACATATTTATGGAAGATATTTATGATACCTGCCCAAATTGTAGGATTGATCAATATAACAGATGACACCCCCAGGTGCCAAATTACTCAACAAAAAAATATAATATTTAAATACTGTACAGTATTCCACCGGATCCCAAGTGGCCCTTACTACACCGTGACTAATTCGTGATTAAGTGATTCTGTGCAAGATGTTTTACCCTAATACCAATAAATCCTGATGTCCACACACACACTTATGTGGTGTTGCATGAAATGATGATCTTAACACAGTCGAGTGCTGATGCCAAGGTTAACATGTAATGAACACGCCTGACGCCGACGTCATAATTGTATGGTGCCATAATTATCAAAACGCCACCAAATGAGACCCCCAAACTCTCTATCTTTGCAACACATAATGGTCATTATTACACACAATTTTCACGTGATAAATTTAATTTAAACAAATTTTGATAAGAAAAATATGGACGTGGCTTTACCGATGTGGCAGCACCACTCACTGAGCAACCACCAATCAATCAACTATAAATTGTCACAGTTGCCAAGGTCGCCACAACAAGAGAATTTGATTAACTGATTAATGTAAAGTGATCTAGTCCTCAAGAGGTAGTTTGTTACCCCCATAGGTGTACTAGTGAGGCAGAACCACAGCAAAGACTTAGGATGGAGACGGTCTGAAAAAAAATTTATGCCTGCAACCGGCGACATGGTGGGGAGCGTGCCAAAGACGGTCAGCTGATTCTGGCACCCAAGTCATCCTCACCTGAACGGTAGAACTCCCTCCTCCACAACATACGGAACTTTGTATGATGTGTTGCTCAATTGATCAATTAGAACACTGGAACTACGGGCATCCTCAAATCCTTGTGGCGCAGAATAAGGTTCATTATGGAATGTCGCAACACTTATTTCCAACACACGTGTACGGACAAATGAGAACAAGCAAATGCTTATTTTATTCTGTGGGAGCTGTAAATAATTCACTTCACAGCCTGGCCTCTACCTGGGTACATATTATTACCATCACTAACAACCATGATACCTCAATATAGCTACACTGTCCGGAAGAGGTTGTCGAGTAAATTATACAATAATTCATCGGCCATAATTGTATAAAAGTAGTCATCTGATACTTAAGGACGCGATCGTGTGAACCATGACACTCCAAAGGAACCATGATAATATGAATGGGTTTAAATGCGCGTGTGTTTGTTGTAGATCACGTGGCATCCTTGTGCTGCTGGCGGGACTGGTACGTGAGGTGTGTGAGTATGTGTGTGTGACGTGGTTAATGTTGGCACCATCAGCAACCACTGCTGGTCCTTACTATTCTTGGCCTTCACCCTGCCACCCCCTCCCACCACCTCACTTTTTGGTCAAACTCAAGCACAAACAATCTACACAGAATGACAACACAATCTCAGGAAAACCAAATACCGGAGCCGGGGGTGAGAAATACCTACCTGGCGGAGGTAATTGTTACGCCATGAAAGGCACGATACTCCTCGTGCTCTTCCAGGGTCCACCAGCTAAGAACATAATTACCCCAAAGTGTAGTGTTGTAGCGTCTCCCCCCGGGGCACAATGTCCACACTTACAATTTCCTTGATAAACTAACCATCACTACGAAGACCGTACTAAAAAAAACTACTACTACTACTACTGTACTAATATTAATATCTGTCATTCATCTGGGTGTTACCACAAAATAGTTACTAAGGCCATACATGAACTGGGTCATCCCCCTGCTTGCTGCTCAATCTTGATTTCTTAATTACCTTTCTATAACTGCACAGCGCCTCCACCAGCACTAAAGTTATTGCCTAAACACCTCAATGATGGTTTCATGTCCTGTACCATATATTTCGGGCACCAATGTTCGTGTATAAATAAAAACAAAATCCCATTATTTATTCAGTTATATTTTGTCTGATCCCCTCCCAGAAAAAAATAATCCCTTTAAAAATGAGAAAAAATATGTCCAGAATATATTAAACCAACTATAATCAGCTTTATGTGGTCTTGGTTTTAGTTATAGATCTGTAAAATCATAATTATCGAGGGCATTTGACTGGATTATTCACTGTTCGTCGATCAGCTTTGAGTGAAACGTTGATGGTCACTGGGTTGAGTCAGTTCAGCTTTAATTAATTGGTAAAAATCTTTCAATAATTGTGGGTGTTTCCTGGTTGGGGTGACCTTGTCCTTTTGTCCGACGGTGGCCAAAATAAGCACTGCGTGTGACGTAACCAAGCCTCGTCCACAAATATAATTAACTGAAGCATATAACGTTATAACCCCTAGAGACTGTGACCGACCTCTGTGACTCTGATTTTAACCAATAAAATCTATAGGCTTCATCCTCTTTCTGTGGCTGTGGATGAAGGTTTACTGAAATGTCCGAAACACAGTTAAAGTTTGTGTTGGGACAGGGATGTGTAGACGAAAACACATGGCGGGCAACACGACAACTTAACCCCCCGCAACAGATATCGGTCAGGGTATAAAAACAGCTGAGGAGAAATAGAACTGAAAGTGTGGTTAGTATTTTTTGGCAAGTATGCAATCCACCTCCAATTACACAGTTTCTAACCTGCTGAGGAAACAATGCTAGACAAACGCTCGTTCACCTTATGCCTGCAGTCGAAAAAGTTCACCACCAAGTCAACTCACTTGCTGCTGAACTTATCTTTAAAGATCTTAGTTCACATGAGTTTAATGTCAATGCTTGTTAGCTTCTTACTCAGCTAAAACAATAGACAGGTTACGGACATGACCTCCCCTAAAAAGTTTTCCAGGACATAATATTTGCCTAGTGGGTAGTGAGGTCAACTAACGTAAAAATGGGGAAACTGCAATCCATACTAGGCAGCTCTATTTACACCCAGCGAATTCCACTCATCCACAATTCTTACTTTCCAAACCAATGTTTACTAATCTATTTTTGTCTGATTTAAACCATTGCTACCTGTCCTGATTTTAGGTTTCACTTACCTATAATTCTCTCGCACAATTGGATTTATCAATAACTGAGTTGTTCAGTTAAAAACTTAATATCTTCAAATTAAGATTAGATGGGGTTGTTAGGCTGTTTGACTAGGTCTTCCCCAGTCATCAAAGAGGTGTGGAGGGGAGGAGGTAATTACGATGGAGTCATAGATAGACATTATGCTGTACAGAATATCTTGACTGCGGTTTGTTGTTATTGATGACGTGATGCTTTAAATCAACTCCCATAGGTATCCCGCCGACCGTAAGAGAAGCTGAGGAGCAACAAGGAAAAAGAGAAAGGGTGGAAGGAGAGTAAAGTAGACAAGAAGCGACTAGGAAACAAAAGACAATGCCTCATCCCAGACTCTCTAAGGCACATACGATTATATTTTTTACTTTAGAGGGTATACAGTATAATGAATGCCTCGCGCCGATTTACTTTACATGACATCGTAATTGTGCTAAGACTCGACTGTAAACTTTAATTGAGGGAAAATAACTGGACGTGTGAATTATTGAGAGTCAGGACCGGAGGAGGGGAGGGAGAGGGAGGGTGAGGGAAGGCTGTGTCCAGGTACCCCTCCCACTCCCACCAGAGAACACTTAAATCCGCCCTCTCTCCACCACCACCATACACAACATACCTACAGTAGCTACCTGTCTACTGCCCACCTACCCCCACCCACCCAATGACAACACCATACCACTTGCCAACATTTTTCTGTTTACGTCAGCGCCACGTGTTTCACCCCACAACAACAAATGGCCTCAGAGGGGAGGGGCGGAGGCTAGGGCCTGGTGGATGGCGTAAGACTAACTTCAAAACACAACGTGGAGTTGGAACAGACCAAGACGACTTATGAAAGCAAAATAACGCATCTCTTAAAGCGGGATAGACTGATGAACTACTGGTGAATTTCTTTGACGACTCGTAAAGTGAGCAATAGCTGGAGACAGAAATACAGATTATTAACTCTTGAAAACTTAAAATTCACCCGTTACCTCAATGATATATGAAGTAAACAAAACAAAGTACCTTCTATGTTCTTGGCAGGGTGCACAACCAAGCACACGAGGCACGCGTCAAGGTACACACGATATACACAGCACTTTAGAGGCCTATC